CTAATAACCTTTCATACAGTAAGATTTTTTTTTTATTTTAATGAGATCAAATTTACCAATTGTTCCTTTGAAGGACCCTCTTTGGGTGTCAAGTATAAGAATGTTTCAGCTAGTACTAAGTTCCTCAAATTTTCTCCTGTGCTTTTTGTAAAGTTTTATAGCTTTACATTTTACATTTTAGTCAGTTTTCCATTTTAAGTTAATTATTGTGTAAGATAAGAGGTTTGAGGTCTTGTTTTTTGTTGTTGTTGTTTTTATCGTTGGCAATGCAATGTCCAATTCCTTAAGCACCATTTATTGAAAAGCCTATCCTTTCTCCATTGAATTGCTATTGAACTGTTAAAAACCAGCTGGACATATTTATGTGAGTCAATCTCTGAGTTCTCTTTTGTGTCATTGATCTATGTATTTGTTGTTCTATAAACACCATACATTTGGTAACTCTAGCTATGCAGTAAGCTTTAACATCAGGTAGAATGATTCTACAAAATTGTTCTAGCTACTCTAGAGATTGTGCATTTCCATATAAATTTAAGAAGAATCTTGTGGATGAGAGGTAATTATACTCACAAATGAACCACAGTTGACAATTTAGTAACTCTCACCCTCAATAAAAGAGGAAAGGAAGAAAGAACATTTCTATTCTTTTCCAGACATATTTTTATTTTTATTTTTAAAGTCTTTATTAATCTTGCAGTGTGTTGTAGAATTACAACACATATAAAAGATGATAGAAGTGGCATCTCTCCACTCTTAATCAAAGGAACAGGAATTTCCCAGATATGTAGCAACTGAACTTCCTAAAGAATAGCTTGTCTAATTATTATGAATATTACATTTACTTCTTTAGCATTCATAGAATCCAACATATCCTCTAGAACAATTGCAATTTTATCATATGTGTAGATTAGTGTGAACATGTTACTTGTTTTTCTAATTAGTTTAAAAATAAAATATGTTGAATTATTTCTATGTATTTCTATGAATAACCTCATTCAAGTTTTCACAGAAATTGCATTAAACTTATATATCAATTTGGAGAGAATTAACAACTTTACTATGGCGAGTTCTCCAAGCCACGAACACGATATGTCATTTCATTTATTTAGGTCTTCTTTAATTTCTGGCATTAACATTTTTTATTTTCAGTATACAGATCTTATACATGTTTTGATAGGTCTATGCCCAAGAATTTCCCTTCCTTTAAAGCAATTGTACATGTTAGCTCTTTTGCTGTCTCACAGGTTCCTGAGACTGTTCGTTTTCTCAGTCTTTTTCTGTTGTTCACATGGGGTAAGTTTTATTTTTCTAACCTCAAATGTGCCGGTTCTATCTTCTGCTACCTCTAGTCTTTTATTTATTTCATCTCAGAGACTTTTATTTTAGTTATTTCATTTTTCAATTCTAAAATTTCCATTTGATGTCTTGTCTCATTCAAGTTGTGATTTCTCTCGTTCTTTGTCTGACTTGTGATTTTCATTGTATCCTAGTCATTTTTGATATAATATTATGAGACTGTATTCTTATTAACCTGTTTTGATCAGACATCCCCCTTGTATTGTAGCTGGACGATGTGCATATTTGGCTTCTTGTGGGATCTCTTGAGACCACCTTTGCAAAAGTGGAGCACTGACTCTCATTGCCTCATTGCATATGGATGAAATGGATAGAAGTTTAGCACCCTTCTCAGATTTGCCAATTTCTTCCTGGTGAAAGTGAGGTACTGACTCACACCAACTTATTGCCTCCAAGTGGGAATGGAGACTTATCTGACCCTTGGGCTTAATACCACCTAGTCCCTTCATTCAGCCTTATTGATGGTGGATGGGGATAAAAGCTAAGCTCTTTACTAGGTTTCACTGAAAGCAAGGGTGTGAGAAAATGTTACTATTCTGACAGGGAAACACTTCCTGCTTAAGGAAGCACTGCCTACTCCTGCCAGAAGAAGCATGGAAGAGCAGTTCTCTACGTGGTCCTGCCAACACTACATTGTCAGAGTAATTGGATTATTACTTACTTTCACCCAGCAGTACATGTAAGTAAGATCAATTTCCCACATTTTAGGCTGTTTACTAACCTTATTTCCCACCACAAACCACATCTCCTATTCCTTAGCCTGGCAAACTCTGTGCTCCAGCCACAAGCTCCTGACCAGTTTTTCACATGTCCTATGTCTATGCATTCTTCTGTGCCTTTCCTCCAGCTGTTTAGATTGAAAAATCCTCACTATTATACGACCTTCTACAAGCCTCCTTTTTGTAGTCTTACCCTTTCAAGTTGTCTTTTCCAATCTCTTCAACCATAACAAATCACTACCTCCTTTGTGTCTCCAGTGCTCAATTCAGTAAGTATTATAATTTGCCTTGTACAATGGAGCTAACAACATTTATGCCTATCTCCACCACCCAGCCCGTTATAAGTTAACACCGTATCTGCCAAAATTATTTTATACAATGTTTTATTTATCCAGAATTTGAGCTCCTGGAAACTTGTAGCATTTCAGAAAGACCAGTTCTGAAACTCGCTGTAAGGGTCAAAATCATGCCAACAGTACCTCCTTGGTTTGTACTCAAGATTTGATCAGGAGGGCTTGAGTGTAAAATAGAGCAAAAGTTCAGAGGTGGAGCATGAGCCAGGTGGTTTGTAGACAGACCTAAGAGAAAAGGGCTTGATAGGAGACTAAGAGTACTTACCACGAGCCAGTTTGTGTGCTAAGAAATTCACTTATATTTGTCTCATTTAATCTTCACAGCTACTCTTTGAGGGAGGTGTTATTATTATTCACATATTGCAGATTGATGGTGCTCTCCTAATCATTTTCAGATTTATGGACACATATTCACAGAGTCAGTGATCTGGATGTTTTGAAAGGATGAATAAAGCTGCTGTGGGAGTTTTTAAGTGATCAGGACTCCAGTCTTCAGAGGCTTGTGTAAGACTACTTGTTTAATTTGAGAGGATTTCTTTGGATTGGAGCAGTGCAGCTGAAACCACTTACTTATTCATTTAACAAATATTTATTGAGTACCTATTCTGTGTAAGGCATTTGAGTTACAAAAAAAAAATAGCCTTTCTCGAATGGGTTTGTAGTTTAGAGTGCAGACATATAAAGTAAACATATAGTAGTGTGATAAGGCCCACTGAATCTATAATGTTAGGGAATGATCTAAACATGAGAATCATAGTTTTAGCAAAGAAAGAATATTAAAAATTATTTTGTCTCCTCAGGCTGCTTTGTGGGGTCATGCACAAAAATTCTATTTAAGTGTACAAACAAAGGGTCTGAGTAAATTATTTTCCCTGCATTTGTGTGCCCTGTGGGTGGTCTTCTTCTCTCACCTGTCAACGGCTCTTCTAAGCAAAAAGAACTTGGCACATCTTGGTCTAGGGGATTACCGGGGGTGAGAGGCATTATTTGTGAAACATGATGGCATGACATTTACACATACCTTCTGACTTTCAGTGTATAGGCCATAGATATGTGTGAATATGTACCACTATGCCCTTCTAAAGAGTATGGAAATACATTTTAGTGTATGTAGTTTTCTTGCTTCCTTGGAGTTACTTTCTTGTATGATAGTATTGGAGAGTTTTCTCATCTCCAAAGTCCTTGGCCTGGGAAACATGAGGAATTAGGGAATCCACACATATTCTGCCTAATCAGCTATTAAATGCTGTGAGGACTAGGTTTTTCTGTCCCTGTCTTGGAAGGTAGTAAAATGTGGTGGCAGCGACTACTGCTGCCTTGCAGCTCTTTTCCCTACTTTCCTACATTTCTAAATGAATTAATGGCTTTTTTTTTCACCCATGATATGATGTCTTGTCACTAGTGAAGGTGGAGGAATGAGAATGAGGGACCTAGTCTTCTCTGGTTTTTATTGTCATCTTATATAGTAGGAAACAGAGCTTAAAAGTTTTGCAGATATTCTCATTTAATCCTCAAACAGCCCTGTAACTTGAGTAGGTAAAATTATGAACTTTTTTTCTATTTTTCAGATTTTCCACACGAGCATGAAATTACATTTATAATGAGAAAAATGACAAATATATAGGACAAAAAAAAACCTTTCTTTTTTCTCTTTATAAAGTTGTGGCCACAATTTAGTTTCAATATCCTGCTTTTTCACACATTGTTCTTATTTCATATGCTGATATCCATGCCATTAAATATTCTTTGAAAATATGGCTTATACTAGCTCAGTAAATCCGCATGTGAATGCAAACTAGTTTAATTATCTAATCTGTCATAGACCATTTAGAATAAATAATGAACTACCCATACAAAGGAACATTATGGAAACATTAAAACGCCTATTTTTAGAGTATTTAATAAACTTGGAAAATGCTCATGATATAAATGAAAAAGGCAAGCTATAAAGGTATGAAATCTCCTAATTTTGTGAAATATAAGCATAGATTTATTAATGAGAGAAAAATCATAACATTTTGGCATATGTCTAGATGGTAAGATTATGGAGATTGTGGTTATTTTCTTCTTTTACTTCACTGAATTTCAGAAGCTCCACAATGTTAGTACATTTATTTTACATTCAAAAACTAAAAAACAAAAAAAGGTTATTAAAAAAACATTACGGGGAGTGATCAAATAGAAAATATAAAAGAGAGTTTGGATCAAGATGGTGGACTGTACACAGGCTTTTTCTTCTCCAGTCTCATATCCCTTTAACTGAAAGAAAATAATTTGTATGTACAAATTCTGTGTGTGTGTGTGTGCTGAATATTATTTTTTAAAGGCTTTGTGAAGAATTCCTGGAAGATAGAAAGCAGATGGAGCGGCTGTGGAGGAGTCTGGCGGGAGGCAGGCGGCCAAAGAGGGAGGAGGGGAGCTGGTCAGTCTGGCTCAGGTTTGAGGGAAGAGATCGGGGGGCGCGTGAGGAAATGAAGGAGTGAGGGCCTATAACTCTGCGGACTGAACACAAGCGCGCGCACTGACCCGCCCTGCAGCTGTGGACCAAGCGGAAGGGAGAATGGTGGAGGGCGGGGCCGAGGCGCAGGCGGGCTCAGAGGGGTCGTGTTCCCGAAGCGGCGAAAAACTAGGCTCCAGAGCTAGGCCGAACAGTGCAGCGCTGCGAACCGGAGGCCGCACAGACTCGTCAGAGACCCGCCGCCGCGGGTGCCTTTGCCACTACAGCCATCCCTCTTGTTCTTTGCCTGCCTTTCCCGTCGTCTCCTTCTCCATCGCCATTTCACAGCCGCAGCACCAGCAGTAACAACTAAGCGGTCAGTTCGGGACTTGGGGCTGGAAATCGGGGCGGGAGCCAGGCGCGGGCAGCACAAGAGCGCGCGCCATCTCCTGCGGCAACCGCCACTGCTGCAGACACCCCTCCCTGGCGGGATAGGCCCACGCTGTCCCAGTGCCCACGGTGAGAGATAGAGCTTTTCTACCAAGCATTGGTGAGAGCCGTGTGTTCGGTGAAGGGAAGACCGACGGGGAATCAGAGATCACGAAAAAAGATCTCATATTGGAAAGCGTTGACTTTTTCTCAGCTTAATCGAGCAAGTGGTAGCTTCGCCTAGCCTCCTTAAACCTCTAGCTATGTCGCCCCCAACTGTGCCTCCAATGGGAGTAGACGGTGTGTCTGCATACCTGATGAAGAAAAGGCACACCCACAGGAAGCAGCGACGCAAGCCCACTTTCCTCACTCGTAGGAACATTGTGGGTTGCCGCATTCAACACGGCTGGAAGGAAGGCAACGAGCCGGTGGAGCAGTGGAAGGGCACCGTGCTCGAGCAGGTTTCCGTGAAGCCTACTCTCTATATTATCAAATACGATGGCAAAGATAGTGTGTATGGACTGGAACTGCACCGAGATAAGAGAGTTTTAGCGCTAGAGATCCTTCCTGAGAGAGTGCCAACTCCTCGCATTGATTCACGGCTGGCAGATTCCCTCATTGGCAAGGCAGTGGGGCATGTGTTTGAGGGTGAGCACGGTAGGAAGGATGAATGGAAGGGCATGGTCCTGGCGCGAGCCCCCGTGATGGACACTTGGTTTTACATCACCTACGAGAAAGATCCGGTTCTTTATATGTACACGCTGCTGGATGACTACAAAGATGGTGACCTGCGCATCATTCCAGATTCCAACTACTATTTTCCTACAGCAGAACGGGAGCCTGGAGAAGTGGTCGACAGTCTTGTGGGCAAGCAGGTAGAGCATGCCAAAGATGACGGGTCCAAGAGAACAGGCATTTTCATCCATCAAGTGGTGGCCAAGCCTTCTGTCTACTTTATTAAGTTTGATGATGATATTCACATTTATGTCTATGGCTTGGTGAAAACTCCCTAAATTCATTGCACTCTTTGCCAAAATTGTGGAACTATTAAATGTAAAATATGTCGTGTTCATGTAATTGTGAAATTTTGAAAACAGTTTTGGTGTCAGAGATTCAGGAATTTATTATTACTTATTGTGCCTCCAAATCTTACATCGACTAGTTCCACAGTTTTGCCTTTGTATTCTGGTACCTATGATATTGCCTTGTTCTGTAACTGAAATTTTAAATTGGGTGCTAATAGAAAAGTGTTCGTGACCATTGGAACAATGAAAAACTAGATAAAGAAAAATTAATGGTGACACTCTGCACCATGTTCTTCCCCCCATTTCCTTACCTTCCCTCTTCTCTCCAGGTAACAAGTGTTAACAACATAATGTGTGTGTGTGTGTGTGTATATATATATATATACGTATATATATATATATATCTCCTTCCATGTTTTTCTCATCCTCTTGCAAAATGTTGTAGTTGTTTCTGTAAAAATTTCAAGCCACATCATTTCTCTGTAATTGCTTTTCTCACTTAGCATATCCATGAAATTCCTTCTGATCAGTTGCTGCAGATATCTCTCCCTCTCCTCTTCCACTCTCTGTTCCCCTTTCCCACCTTTACCCTCCTTTCCCCTCCCTCTGGCCCTCTCCTTCTGGAATTTATTTTCGTATATAGTTTAAGATAACAGGTCCAATTATACTTTCTGTTCACATTATATACCTGATTATGCCATCACATTTATTAAATCTCCCATTTCCCTTTCCCTCTGAAATTTATTTTTATATATGGTATAAGACAGAGGTCCTATACATTTTGTTCACATTTTATATATGGTATAAGACAGAGGTCCTATACATTTTGTTCACATTGAATACTTGATTGTGCCATCACATTTATTAAATATATCACCCACTTCCCTTCTCTCTCTCTCTCCCCAAAAAGGTATTCAACCATTCCATTATTGATGGTCATTTAAGTTATTTCCTTTCTGTTTTTTCACCATAGCACTGCTTTAATACATATTGGTGCTTTTATTTCTATAGGGTAGATACCCAGAAATGGATCTCTGGGTTGTCATATATTTAATTTTTAAAGATATTACGAAATTACCTTTCCAAATGAAAGTGCTCTTTTTCCAGCATCTTCTCTAGCACTCTTAATGTTTGCAAATCTAAAAGGTGAAAAATTACATAGTTTTGTTTCTTTAATTGACAAACTCAATGAGGTCTATTTTGGGGGGATTTTTTGGGAGGAGTGGGTTGTTTGTTTTTGCTGTTTGGACTTTTTTTGTGGTTTGCCAATGTTTATCCTAGGCTCATTCATCTATTGAATCTTTGATATTTTCTTATAAATTTGTAAGAATTCTTACTATATTTGCTGTATGGTACATAATAATCATTTTAGCCCATGTGTTATAATTTTTTCCATCCTATCGTTAATCTTTATTGATGGTGTCTTTTATTTTACAGGGTCTTAAAAAAAATTTAGATAAACTTATATTTCCTTTTTGCTTTTTGGTTTTCTCTTTTTCAGATGAATGCCCCACCTAAGTTATACAAATATTCACCTGCTTTTTTTTTCAAAAACATATTAATTTTAAGGTTTCAATTTTTGATCCATCTGAAATATAATTTTGTATGTGGTGTAAGATAGATGTCAACCTATGCATTTTGTTTACATTGGATACCTGATTGTGCTATCACACTTGTTAAATAAATCATCCATGTTCAAGTGTCTGGGCCAGGTCACATTGTTTTAACTATAGTGGCTTGACCTTAAATTTTGGACTCTGGTAAAGCAGGTTACCTCTCATTGGTATTTTTTTCTTCTTTTATATAACTTGTCCTAGACATTCATTTTTTCATATGAAAATTAAAAGCATTCTTTCTACATTAAAAAAAATTTGATGTCTTATTTAGAATTGTGTTAGAGTTTTGCATATATATTTAGAGGATTGTTTTGATAATATTAATTCTTAACACTCAAAAGTTTGGGTACAGCATTAAAATCTTTTGGTTTTGTTTTCGTAATGTTCTTCATCTAGGTTCATATCAGATGAAATTTATTTCTAAATATTTTTACAGTTTTTGTCACATTTTGACACTTTGAATTGAGTATTTTTTTATTGCTCACTTGTAACTTGTTATTTTGGGCAATATAGACAAACTATGAATCTTTTTATTTTTACTTTCAGTTTAATCAACTTACTAAATCCTGTAAATTACTCTGGGTGTTTAAAATAGTGTATCTTGGACTTCCTAGATATACAATCATTTCACCTGCCAATAGAGATAATTTTATTTCTTCTAATGTTTATACCGATTATTATTACATTAGCTGGATTCTCTAAAACAATGTTGAATAATGATAATGACAGATATCCCTGTCTGGTTCTTAATTTTCATAGAATTGTCTTTAGTATTCCCTATTTATATGGCATTTGCTATTGGTTATTGGTAAATAGTCATTAACTATTAACATGTTTAGGGAATTTAGGAAGTTTCTTCTATTCCTGTTTTCATAGCATTATTACTAAAAGTGTCTCCTGAATTTTATCAGTTGTCTTTTCAGCATCTATTAATAAAATCATATGATTTTTCTCCTTAATTTGTTGACATAATGAATTCGAGTGGTAGGTATTTAATGTTGAACCAAACTTGTATTTCTGGAATAAATCCTACTTGGTCATGGTGTAATAATCATTTGATTCATTGCTGTATTTTATTTACCCATATGTTATTCAGAATTATTGTATTTACATTTCAAAGTGAAATTATATTTGTTTCTTTCTTACACTGTTTTTATCAAGTATCTTTATTAAAATTGTACCAGCTAAAATAATGAATTGGTGAATTTTCGATATTTTTCTGTGGTCTGGAATAGTTTAAATAGCATAGGAATTACTTGTTCTTTAAAAATTAGCTAGTACTAAGTTGTAAAACCATCTAATCCCAGTGACACTTTTGATGGTAGATCTTTAATCAGCTTTCTTATCTCTTCAATGGTAATTGTTTTATTTAAGCTTTCTATTAAAAAGGAATATGTGGTCCCAGTGACACACAAACTGTAAAGTTTTCTCTTTTATTGAGCTTCTTAATTGTATTATTTAGATGCTTTATGTCATTATGTGTTGCATATGCATATGTCCTAGATATGTTCAATTCTGAAAACATTGTAATAAATAAAGTCAGCAGCTATAATGGTGTTTTAAATTCTCTTCACATTTTGTTTTAAAATTTAAAACAATATAGAAAGTATAAAAGATAAAAAAAAATTGTTTAACTTTACCTAAAATTAACAAATATCAACATTTTGGCGTCTTTGTTTTAGATATAGATTTATATTCTTAAAAAGTCAGAGCATTACAAATAATATCTTTCCCAATACCATAATTTTTCCTTCTTCTGCATTTGGTGTGAGTCTTGCTTATGTTTTATATATTTACTGCAAATATAACCGTAATCAATAATAGTATTGATTTTTGTCTTTTTTTTTTTTTTTTTTGTATTTCAACATCAATGGTAAACTTTAAGCCATGCAGAATTTATTTTAGTTTTTGTTGTAGAAATCTTCTTTTTTTCCAATTAGGAAATGAATTGCAACAGAAAAAAAAAAAAAAACAGTGAATAACATTGACCTTAGAATACTAGTTGCTGTTTTAGGTACTTTTACTACTCCTGACACTCAAGAAGTTTGGCCCTAGCCAAAGCACTGACGATTGACTTAAAAACAGACAAAATTTCAGCTCTTGTAGAGATTGTATCTTGGCTGTGGCAAAGTAGATATCTACCACCCACCCCTGACCTCAAGACCAAAAATAGGTCTTATATTTTCCTATGATAATATTGGGGTTATCCCACATTTTGACACTCAGAGGGAGTCTGGCCCTAATCCTTGCACTGATTTAAGAGTTTAGGAAACAACAGTGGACAAAACAAAAACCTTCCTTTCTTAACACGTTTTCGTTTGTTTGTTTGTTTTAATCCTTCAAGTAGCCTTCAGACCATTAACAAAGATAAAGGGTAAGTATAAAAGTATACATAACAAGGTTACAAGAATGTGAATATCATTAAAGGGTTAGAGGGGTATGTACTATACATATGTACTATGTGACAAACTATACACTATATAGTTTGTCTTTAGACAACAAAAAAAACAAATGTGTAAACAGTTTAGATAAATAATAATGCTTTTTAGTTCCTACTCTCCCACTAGGCCTCAAGTCCTAATTGTTTTATATTGTTTCTTGATGACATTGGGCTATTAACACAGTAAGGGAGAGGCCTAGCGCTGGCCTAAAATCTGGAGATAGAACAATGAACAATCTAGAAAAAAGATCCCTGTTCTTTAGAAACATATATCCTAATGGGGGTGGTGGAGAGAGCCACCACCACCCTGTACCCTGTACCCACGGGCCTTGGTCTTTATATTGTTTCATAGTGATTTGAGAATATCCTACAATTTGTTAGAGTAAAGGTTCATCCTAGTTCTAACTCTGTTTTAGAGGTCAAATACATAGCAGTGAGCAAAATATGGAACTATGTGTCAGTTGGAGGAAGATGAAAAAAAATTAATGTAGAATGCCATGTTCACCAACTACGCCTTTACCCCTTAACTTTCTGAGCTCTTAGACTACAACCAAGTTTCAGATCATTACATGGTAATATTATTGCTTTCTTTGAGTCAGTGGGGGGCTCATTCTTGACCAGTGTAACACAGAAACCCCAGACCTGGAACTTGCACCTGAGATTGGATATTCTGGAAAAACCACCAGGAGGACCAGAGAGGTTAGGAATGTAATTTATTACTCATGAGGCGGGGAAGCTTCAGGAGAAAGTGACTGCTCCTGACCAAGTACAAGCAGAGTTTTTTTATGCACACAAGCAGAGGGAGGGGTTATCACATTGCGGGAGCAGCCACCTTCTCAGATAGGTGGGAGCAAGATGTGCCGCTTGGTTACAGGAGCAGATAACGTCCATGGGAGCAGCAGAAAACGTCCTTGGGAGTAGGCACTGCTGAAAGCTCCTTGTGTACTGCCTTCCTTAATTGCTGGCTGAGCAGCTATCAGTGTTCTGAATATGTGGAGGGACTATGTTCTGAGTTAGCTCTACAACCAACCAGTGAACAAAACTCAAAGTTCTCTATTGAAACTTACATCCTATTGAGAACAGACAGATAGTCATCCCCTCTTCCTTGGGCCACCAGTCTAGAATCGGGTCTTATATTGTTTCAGGGTGATATTGGAGTTCTCTTATATCCTAGTGCTAAATCAGAGGCAGGACTGACAGTGATTATATCACTGTTTTAGGAGAGGGAAATAACCGGAAACGAAGTCCTGTTTCCATAATGCTTACAGCTTATATCGTGCAGGGTGGAAACAGATTCTCATCTCCTTTCTCCTAACACTTTATGCACGTATCAGACTGTGATGATTGCTCTGATAAAAATATAAAGCAGGGTAAGTAAAGTGACAGGTTACTTTGGTTACTTAGATTAATACTCGTTTATTTTATCATTCATTTATTCGTAGAAGTAAACAAAATTTATAAAACATTTTTCTAGAGGTTCTGCTGGGATACCAAGATGAATGCTACATGGTCTTCTATCCTTAAAGTAGCCGTCAGACCAATAACAAAGATATAAGGTGGATACAAAACTTTACAAAACAAGATAAAAGGAATGTGATAAATACTATTAACAGGTTAGAAGTGTACATATATACTATTTAAATTCAGATACAAGAGTCAGTGAGAGATAGAAAAAGAGAGATGGATTATTCCACAGAAATTGATCTTCATTATGCTAAGCAAGTTTATTAGTTAGGGTTCTTCATATAAACAAACCAAAAAGATTAATTAATTAATTAATTCATTCATTTATTTACACTTTCATTGTAGGAATTGTCTCATGGGATTATGAAGATCAAGAAGTCCCATGACTTTTCTTGATTGTGAGAGGTCCAGATACAACAACTTCACTTTAAAAGGAATATCTTTTTTTAAGCATTTTATTTTATTATTAATTTCAAGTATATAGTACACTGGTTAGTCATTTATATAGTTTATGAAACAATCCCCCTGATTGCACTATCACCCCTCTGGCTCTAAACATAGCCATTACATTACTAATGGGATATCTTGGTATGTTCCACACCACCGGGACCTTAGAAATTTCACTGAGGTAGAAGGCCCCTGAATTTTAGTTATGTTTATTTGCCACCCTCTGACACCAATAAGCCTAGAAACATTGCTACTTCTCACTCACTAGGTGCAATCAACATGATGTCATCAATGTAATGGACCAGTGTGATACCTTGTGGAAGGGAAAAGTGATCAAGGTCCCTGTGAACAAAATTATGACATAGGGCTGGGGAGTTGCTATGCTCCTGAGTTAGGACAGTGAAGATGTATTACTGGCCTTGCAAGCTGAAAGCAAACTACTTCTGGTGGACTTTATGGACAAGAATGGAGAAAAAGGCATTTGCCAGATCAATGGCTGCATATTAGATACTAAAGAATATGTTAATTGGCTCAAGAAATGAAACCACATCAGAGAAACCAACTTTAATTGGTATCACCACCTGCTTAAGCTTTATAATAATCCTCTGATAACATTCCTTAGGATATATCTTCTGCACAGGCCAAATAGGAGAGTTGAATGAGGATGTGGGAATTAACACTACTGCACCTTTTAAGTCTTTGATGGTGGCACTAATTATTGCAATCCTTCCAGGAATGTAGTATTCCTTTTAATTTACCAGATTCCTAGGTAAAAGCAATTCTAATGGCTTCAACTTAGCCTTTCCTAGTTTTAAATTTCTCACTCTACAGGTCAGGAAACCTATGTGGGGATTTCGCCAATTGCTAAGTATGTCTATTCCAATTATACATTCTGGACCTAGGGAAATAACCATGGGATGAGTTCAGGGACCTACTGGACCCACAGTGAGACAAACTTGAACTAAAACTCCATTGGTCACCTGAGCTCCATAAGCCCCTACTCTGACTGAAGGGCCACAGTAATGTTTTGGGTTTCCTAGAATCAGATTCAGTTTAGAGCCAATGTCCAGTAGTCCTCAAAGGTCTGATTATTTCCTTTTGTTCAATGTACAGATACCCTGGTATAAAGCCAGAGGTTCTTTTGGGGAAGATTAACAGTATAAATTTTTTATAGTGTGTCATGGTGTCACGGTCCGAGGTATTGCTGACCTGACCCAGAAGGTTTGACGGTGTGAGGCCCATTTGGAAGAATGCACAAGAGGCAGACATGAGGATGAAACAGCAGGCACCAACTTTATTGTGCGGAGTTCACTTCTGTTAGGAATTGCAGTTCTATTGGGGAGTGCAGGCTATTGCATGGGGCATGCAATCTTGCGTGCACTTTTCTTACTCCCCTTTCTTGTGCTCCCCTTCTGCTCTCCTCTTCTGCTCTCTCCTCTCTGCTCTCCAGGGGACTGCATGGCTCCTCACATAGCAGAGTACAAAAGTGGCATTCAGCCACACACGCGTGATACAATAAGCTGAAGTATGTTTACATATTTTCTAAGTCCGGGGTCCTATTCCTAGTTGCAGGCTTGGATTACAGCCAGATCTTGGACCAGCCAGACCTTGGGCCAGTCAGGCCTGGTGCCCACAGATGGTTTTTCCTTAAGGAGACTTAGCCTCCCCTGAGTTCAAGAGATTCTTGATATGTTAACTGGTTCAATTCTGGGAGTTGATTAAAGGCCTGACACCCTCTGTTTTAATGATTCAGGTTTACTTTTGTTCACTTATCTGGAATTTTTCTGCTTATACAGACTGAGTAAGAATTTAGTAGGCTTCCTATCTACTTTACTTTTAGGAAAACCATGATTAGTTAGCTGATGCAATAAATTAGCATGAGTCAGACTATTCTGATTGCTGCTTTGACTCTCCTGTCTATTACAGTAATTATGTTCACTTTGCCTTTGGTGGCTGAATGTCACCATTAGGCCTCTGACACCCCAATCCAACTACCTCTACCTCAATCATATTTACATTTCGCAATTGAGTGGCTGTGGTTCCCACTGTAAGGTCTGGCCTACAGAGAAGAATGGTCACAAAGTTCTTCTTAGCCCAAGGTTGCTAGGGCTCTCCTCACAGATTTATTTCTCATAGTATTAGAGAAAAGTATGCCTTCCGTACTCTCAATGTGTGTGAATAGGTCTTAAATGACAAATCCACTCTAAAATTCT